ATAAGTTAATTGTCTGAGCTTCACATCATACGGCTCGCTCGTATTTCAAACAGATACCCTACATCGAAAATCGTATTTGTTAGGAATCGTTAACGTTTGCTCGAAGCACGTGTGAAGGCCTGGCTACACTATGCGTTTTCTTCGTGCGTTTTTTGCGTGTTTGCGTGTTTTGCGTGATATCGTTCTAGAAAAAAGAACTATATTACGTTTTTGTGATGTTTTTCACCTTAAATTTTAGTTACACAAGAGTTTTATTAGCTTTTGTATATAACCAAAGTAAAAATTATATTGTTTATAACTTTTTTCCTAGAACGATATTACGCAAAACACGCAAACCTGCAAAAACGCACGCAGAAAACGCATAGTGTAGCCAGGCCTTGAGTAGTAGGTTGAGGAGTGATGGTCCTCTTGGTCCTATATACAAGAGTCAACAAGAGCCTAACATTTACTTGACCGTCTGCTGCAATTGACTCATAGCACGTGAAGCGTCAGCGAAATTCATAGTCCTTCACAGATGGCAGGGGTGTCGTTTGTACAGAGGTCGCTGATGGGCACGGGTCAATGCCGCAGTCGTGGGCGGAGCCTAATGTCATATGACGTAGAAAGCCTCTATCCAGGATGGAAAAACAGTTAACATTACGAGTCAATGACAAGTGCCTGAAATATTGAAATGGCGATAAAATATCTAAATTGTAAAAGTTTCGGCCTGTCTTGAAACGGCCATGTCCTGAGCTTGGTTGAAATTCCTTCACGCATTTAAAAGTAATCGCGAAAAATTAGGGTCTCAAGGGGTCTGGCGTTAACAGTAATTGTGCCTGGTAGGTACTAAACATTTGAAGCTGATTTGAAGCGAGAAGTTTGCTGCACTTATCCTTACATTGCGGTATACATGGCTGGATGCTAGGTGGACCATGTGGGTTGTGCGCTCTCCGGCTATTCCAAACCGGACAAAGGAACGCGCTGTCCGCTTTCGTCCAAAATATTCCAACGAGCACACAATTTCTTCTGCCTATTCTACCTACACACCGGGTGGATTCTTGTTGCTAACGACTTGCACTCATGGCTCCCCATTTCAAAAATGGTTGTTTTTATGCTGTGAATTCAGAGCTATTTGACCGATTTTGTCCCGACGGCTACGTATGGTCAGATACTGGTTTGTTTGCCTCCGACTGGTTATTGCGAGCAAGATTACTTTACTACTCATTGCGAGAGCTACGGCCTGAAACTTCCGCGACCATATGCGTGCCCCGTACGGCAGCCGGCCCGGCGGTACCCTTTGATCGTCGAGCGGCGTCTGTGTTTGATTGGTGGGTGAGATCGGTGAGATCACCGCCGTTCGCCGATCCAAACCTGTGGACCCGGCACGGCCTCTGATGTCAGGGTAGGCCACCGGGGCAGCCGCTGGTTTGTGTATTGGCAGGGGGAAACAGAAACACGGATGGCGTCATGGGTTTTCAAAAGGTGGTGGTGATCAAAATGTCTATTGCTTTTAAAAGACCATGAGGTCACGTTTAGTGGTGTCAATCGGAACTTGAATCTTCGGAATTCCGATTTTGTCCAATGTCCAATTTGGAATTCGGTTGGACAATGACAGCAGGCTTTGGACAACTTTGGAGAATCGCTTGCTACACCTCAATTTTTTTATAAAGTAATCGTGTTAACATTGATTGGCTATTAGAAAGTTCAGCTTTCGATATGATTACCACTTTTGAGCTGGTAACGATACATTAAAACCAAATTAAATAACGGTGTTGAGTGTAAACTATTGCGTAGATGTCGGACATCTTTGGACAAATGGCTGGCTTGGACATTTTTGGACGGACAGTCGACGTAAGCATTGGAAATTGGACGGACATTGGACATATGTTTTCTGAAATTGACATCACTAGTCACGTTGGTGTGGATATTGCACTGTATTTCCTACTTTTATGACGACTTTCTGTGGCGCTTACCGTACTTAGATGATATCATACTTTGAAAACTTAACCTGACCGTAATCGCTGCATTCCTCCTTTCATCGGGCTTCGATCTGGCTTTGTGGTGTCCCATCTGTGATTTAAAGGGCTTTTTATCTAAATGCACTCTTCAATTCACTGATGCACACCTTATGAGTCAGTATCTCACCTTCTTACTATCAACTGATATTAACAGTGGCGGCGGAAGGTATTCTAGGATAGGGGTGCAAACGATATTGAAGCGCCCCTTCCCGCTGGGCGCCCCTTACCATATACACGGATGTAGTAACACAAACAGTGAAGAGACGTTTGACAATGTGTTGTACCTGTTAACACGTTCAGAATTACAGTTTTTATGTAATGAGAAATAGTTAGGTACATTCCGTAGCGTAAATGTAACCTTCATTCAAACTAATACGACGGCGACGCCTCCACACCGATAGGGGCCCATACCAGGGGAACGGAATAAATGCCGCCCCCTCATTGCCGGGCGCCCCAGGAGAATGAATGTTACACATCAACACCAATATGCCTCCCAGTGAAATGAATTATGAATGTCGCCTTTCGACGCCGGTAGGCGCCCCAGACACCAGTGGATTTACTGCCGCCTTAAAACAGCGATAGGCACCTCAGTGAAGCGAATGCCGGCCTATACCACCGATAAGCGCCCCGGATGAATAAATACCACCCGTCAACGCCGATAGGCGCCTCAGTGAAATTAATGCCGCCCTAATCTCCGATAGGCGCCCCAGGTGATACATGTCGCCCATCAACACCAACGGGCACCCCATTGAAATGAATACCGCCCTTCAACACTGGCAGACGCCCCAGTGGAATGAATGCCGCCCCACAATGCCGATGGCCGTCCCTGCACTGGAAAATCAGTTTCGCCCCTATACAGGCGCCCATAGAAGTTTGCAGAGTGCTATTCCTGGTCATAATCATCTCCCCAGTAAAAAAAAAACGCAAAATACGCCCTAGCACTAGGGGTGTAACCGCCCCATACGGACAGTGCAATTTTACAGGCCCCAATCTCGGACCTCCCTTAACATTCATATGTTGTAAACGGCAAACCGCCCCCGATAAATGTTACACAAACTAATTTCCTCTCGCATATCGGCCATCAGGCGCCCCTTTTTGTCGCATGGAGCCTGCAACGCTTTAAGCCCTCATATGTTCGTGTTGGCGTTCGGAGGCTATCGCCTTCAAAGACGTCTCCATAAATGTTTCTTTTTCGTCCCACACACAGGCGCCCCTCTTTCGCATGCAGGCGCCCCTCTTCCGCATGGCGCGCTTCTCGAGTGGCTGCGCCCTCCTAGCCTTTATCGCCTGGCAAGATTATATTCGACAGGGTCGGCAGCATCTGCCTTTGTTTCAGATAAGGATGCCCTCCACTCTTCAGCATATCAAAAGATACTTTTCCCACGTCATTGCCACCCTCTTCGTGTCACAAGTGCCTTTATCAGTTGCGGTGTCGCACTGCTCAGCTTTATGACTGCCGCACCTCTTAACTTCCTGCCTCCTCTACAGATTTTCGAGGCGCCCCTTTCCATAGCTTTAGGGTGCAGCTGCCCCCCTTGCCCCCCTGCTTCCGCCGCCACTGGATATTAACAGCCGACTTTATGTTGGCTATCATGTCAAGCACATTACACAATATCAGGTTAGAGTGGACATAACCCGTGGGCTGTGATTGAATCGGCACACTCAGTGCGGCCAATCACAATCGGCGTCACATGCGATGTGTGATGAAATGATTCATATTTTATCATGTGTTTGATCGATATGATCATCACTTATCGGCCTATTTAACCTCTTGACATGAGGTAGTGCAATACTGTCATGTGAGTGAAATGCGTCAGCACATAAAGATATTGATTCGTGGTGTCGTTTCAACCTAAATTGGCTGATAATGTCACCCCACCCCACCTGTCGATTGGAGCCCATCGATTTACCGCGTGGCAATGTTTCACGGGTGACCATTTGCCAAATTGAATATAGTATTTTAGAACGCCTTAGTTGTTGTTGACCATTGCTCTTGGGGTACCTAGTTAGTCAAAACTAATAATCATGCACTACGTACTGACGTTCATTGCACTTTCAACGGGCCAACGACCGGTCGCCCTGTACGATGTCACAAGGTCACGGAGCGTGTCAGTCTATGTCACGTCTCACGCCCAGGTCACGTGTCACACTGAGGTCGTGACCGATAAATCGTCAGATCGGCATTAGCGCCAGGAAGCCAGAGGTTCCTGGATCACTCAGTTCACGCGTTCGTGCCGTTCACTGGCCGGAAAATGACAGTGACTTTGCATGTGTCAGTTGAATTACGCGCGGTCAAACGCCGCTATTTCGTGATGTTCGTGAAGGTATGTCCATTAAGACGATGGATTAGGGTGAAGTGCAAGCCGCGGAGACTTAGCAGCCCCTTTTACTATCACCCTGCTGTATTATTCAAACGTTTTAAGAATGGTTCGGTATGACAGGCGGGGGGGGGGACTATCGGGGTTCTTACGACCGTCTGACCCTGTTTGACCCCGTTTGCCTTCGTCTAGCCTCGTTTTCCCGATAGTGCAGCGATTTCACGTTTCGTGATATATGGCTGTTATCTGTCGTGTGCTGTACGCGAAACCCGTATCGGTCAGATCGCTGCACCAGGTTTACTGTAGAAGATTGTGGTGGGTGAATGTCTGTTCGGCGGATAGGTGGGTGTGCGGCGGGACTTCCGCCCGCCGCGCCATCCATGCCCTGCTCCGCGGCCCGCAATGACCTCTCCTACTACGTCTATTCCTATTCTACGGGCCCCACTCCGCTCTACTCTGCTTTATGACCTGACCTGATCTCTATGACCTGATCTACTCTGACCTAATCTACTCTGACCTGACCTGACCTCACCTGTGAGCTCACCTGTTCCGCCGGATCTGCGCTACCCTACTCGGCACTTTTCTCGCCCTGCTCAGTGACGCGACCTGACTTGATCTGCTCTGACCTCATACCTGACCTGATCTGACCCGAGCCGATCTGACCTTACCCTCTCCCTTCCCACAGCATCACGCTGCCCGAGGAGGACGAGTGGCTCATCTGGGCCGGCGGTCCGGGCCGAAAGCAGGCGCTGCTCCGGTTCAACGCCGCTAACCTGGACGACGAGCCGCCGGATCCCATCGGCCGCCAGTACCAGATGCTCTTCAAAATGCAGAACACAGACAGCAAGTGAGTCTTACCCCGCCGCGCCGCTCCGGAGCCGCTCACATCGGGCGCCCGTGTCAGATCGTTTCCAATGGATGTTAACAATGCATGCGCGGTGGATGTTTCCGCTTTGTTTGTGTCTTTGTTTGCCGCGTGATCGATATCCAAATCAGCTTCGCGGCATGTTTGTGGGGTCGTGCGGAGCGCAAACAAATGCCATTGTTTGACGGTGGGTGGCCTGAGTCGCTGCCACCCCTCCCCCTCCCCCTCCTCTAGCACTCCCCGCTGCACTTGTCTTACAGATGAAACCGGTAGATGCGTGTTGCATTTGAACAAGTCTATTGTGTTGTGCCTGGTTATACATGCCGAGTTGATTGTGCGTGGGTGTCCCATCTTGCAACATTCCCTGTTAGTGCAATTGGAAACCGAGCTCATCAGCATGCGTGTTTTCGCTACTGTGATCTAGCTGCTTTGATCTGCCGCCAACTGTGTTCTGCTTTCCGGCCGAGTTTGCAAATGAAAGGTGTTAATATTCGTGCCGTGATACTAGCAGCTAGCCTTGGTTGTTCTGTTTTGGCGCCCGATGCTGACAAAAAAGCATCCAGCACCGCCACCGTCTTCACTACAGTTCAACTTTCGGTACAACCTTACTCGCATATTATTAACCAGTAAAACGCCTTTTGGGCGAAGCACGAGCGAGCGAGGTAGTGAGCCCTGCACGTGCGGAAGGGCGAGAGGGTACTTGCAAAGCACCCTTCTAACCGGTCGCTAGCGGTGTACCAAATTTGAACGCAATCGGCCCAGCCGTTCCTGAGATCTGGAAGCGGCATTCTGCACGTGCGCACGTGCAAACGGGGTCCAAACTGACTATTGCACGGCACCCTACTAACCGGTCTCCAACCGTGTACCAAATTTGAGCGCAATCGGCCCAGCCGTTCTCGAGATCTGGAAGCGCCCCCTGCACGTGCGCACGTGCAGTAGCACCTTAATCGCAACACATGGGAATGCATTGCCTGGTGGGTGCCTACCTGTATGCCAAGTTTCAGCGAAATCGCCCCAGTAATTACCGAGTTATTAAAATGGGAACAAATTTGACACCTCTTATTGTTGCACTGGGGGTGACCCACATGCATCGAGAGTATCCTATTTTTGGTAGAAAGGATGCAGCTACCCTATAAAAATTACCGCAAGTCAATCGCCCAAGCGGCTGCTGAGATATGAGCCTCTCAAAATCACTACTTTTGCAAAACAGCTTGAACACCCTTGACTTTTCACGTGGCACGTGCCACGACGGTCACTGAGATGTATCAAAAGTAGTCAATTACGGGGTAGAAGGGATGGGGCTACCCAGCAAAAAAGACCGCAGGCCAATCGGTCCAGCGGTTGCTGACATATAAGCCTCTCAAAAGCGTTACAGGCCGGGCTGGGCCGGGCCGCTCATAGGTACTGAGATTTTTCCGTTATATTGAAAAGACTCGCTTCGCTCGCTGCGCTCGCTCGCTCGTAATCACTTTCGACATAACCGTCGATATCGGCATAACCATTCCGACATAACCGACATAACATCATCATCCTCAGACTGTTCCGGCGAGTGATGGACGTGCACGGGATCAGCGAGTCCTCGGCGTCTGTCAGCGACTTCAACATCCTCTGGACGGGGGTGCACCCCAAGCCGTTCGTCCTGCGGAATCTGTACGACTACCAGCGCGTCAACCACTTCCCCAGGTGGGTGATAGGGGTTACAGCGGATGGTCAGTGTTCTCTGGGCTCTTTGCCCATCCGTAGTATTCGTCTGATTCCAGCTAGGGAATGATAGGGTTAGAATTTTAGGTAGGGAGACTGATGCCAATTTAGTGTCATGTATGTCAATGAACATTTGTCATGTCATGTGTCATGTATGTCATGAACATTTGTCAAGTGTGTCAATGAACATTTGAGAGTGAGTAGCTGATAATGCATGATCTTTGTGTGTGTTTATGCGATTTACTATACCTACTGTCAAGTTAACGAGCACCCTATAGTAAGGCCCCTCACTTTCCTCTCCTTTCTAGTGCGGCTGACGCCCCTCCCCCGCTGTGTTGTTTGAGTGTCACAGGGTATCCCTCCCTTTTTGTGTCCCCTTTTGCGTCCCTCCCTTGCATTTCCATCATCATTTGCAGGTGTCCCTCTCCCCTCAGGTGAGTGCCCTCCCCTCTCTCCCTCCCTCCCTCTCCTGTCCGGTCCGCCGCTGCTCCATATCGACTATCAGCTCAGCTATTGACCTCTCGCGGCGTCCTGAGCCGCTCCGCCGTCACCGACGCTCGTACACGCACGCTGGAGTGGGAGCGGAGAGATATTGGACAGGTTACGGCGGCGTGCCGGCGGGATATTGTGGCTGTGTGTCACTACGGTATTGAAGGAGCTGAGCAGATGGGTGGGCTGAGTCGTCTGCGGGGATATGTTTGTTATCCGTGGGTGTGTTCAGTGCAGGATGCAAATGTGTCCATTGTATGGACTCCTGCGCACAGCAGGAGCTCGTTTTTAGTTATGTAGATGCTAAGGATTAGGTTCCCACGCGCTATACAAAACAAGTGTTTTTGCTCGGCGGCTTAGATTCGTGTTGCACATGTGTGGTTTTACACACATGTTTATATCTCGATGTGTCTGCAGACTGGTAGTATACTTTGCAGGCTGCAGACTCCAACTTTTCCTTATTAGAGATTGGGTCTTGTGTGTGCTGAGTCCCACGTCATGCAGAGCCAAATCAAGTTTGTAACACCTGAAATCTCGGGCTGGTCTGCAACTCACAGCCCTCGCTGCCTGTGTTCGTGAAATCGTGTAGTTCACCATAGCGATATATTTCCATATGTAAATTATTTGTCATCTGCGAACCATTAACCCACCAGCTTTAACTATCCGAACGTTTCCACTCAATAACTACAGAGTCTGCCTCGCATTTACTGCCGCCGTCTCCCATCTGGGCGTTTCGCGCTGTGATTTTTACATCCCCGACCTGCCGTTCTCGCCACGGTGGCTGGCTGTAGAGACCACCACCCATGTCGAAATCTCCCAGCGTCCCCGAAACCCCACAGTCTCGGCGCCTATTTCCAGTGCCGCGCGGCGGCTGACCGTGCATTAACAGAGTACACACTGCGGCCTCATTGTCCGCCCCTGCGGCCACATTCCGCCGCGCCGGCCGCGTTATGGGCGGCTAGTGAACTGAGCCGGCGCTGCTTCCTCTGCAGGTCGTACGAGCTGACCCGTAAGGACCGGCTGTGTAAGAACATCGAGAGGATGAAGTACATCCGCGGCGCCAAACACTTTGACTTCATACCGCCCAGCTACATCATGCCCACCGAGTATCAGGTCAGGTTGCTTGTTTGGTTGTTTGCAATTGTATGACATTCATATTGTGTTAAAGGCAGATATATAATTCGTTGGGTGAGCTTTTTTAAAGGGAAAATCATCTTAGAATAGGTGTGCTAATTTGTGTTGTGTTTATCCCAGCGAGTTGCACGCTAAGTCGAACGCCGCCTTCTTTCTGTGTTCTTTTCCGGGATGCTCTATCATCAATCATCATTTAGGTTGTTCTGCGGATAACTCTGTGGAACAGTGTGTGTGACTGCCGGCGATATTTTACGTCAATGGACCACGAAGTATCCAGGAAGTTGTTCCGTGACAGCTGTACTGACTTCCCCAGTCGTGAGGTGCTCTCGTGACTCGTGTCACGTTTCGAGCGGCCTCTGATGAACCGTTAGCACGCGTTTGTAGGCTGAGCCCGCTGGTATGCTGTTCTGCAAACATCCCAATACTCTGGTTAGTCGTGTCGGCGGTCAGTTTTAGGGCGATTACGAGGGATCACATTGGTCTGACGTGCGGCCGCCGTTTTCGTTTGACAGGAGTTTTGTTCGGCGTTTCTGAAGGACCGAGGAGCGTGGATTGTGAAGCCGGTGGCCTCGTCACGCGGCCGTGGTATCTACCTCATTAACCATGTAAGACGGATCGCGGAGAATAATCTATAGTAGACATAGCGTGTTCCTGTAATGTGTGATAGCACATCAATATGGTGGTAAATTGAATCAGCTTTTTAACGCGGCAAGGTATCGGTATGCCATCAGTGGATACTTAATACATAGTAATTGTTATGCACATGTGGGAGCTTCCACATAACCCAGTCGTCGGTTGAACGTGAACACATCCTAAGATGATATTCCGGAATATGTTGGGTTTTTATCCCATAGCTGAAATGCTGATTACCTTATGGACAAGGCCGTCGGCCAACATAAATCAAAGAACATCGCGGACCTCTTCACTGCTATCCGAATCACCAACCATAAAACCACCCAACACGGATATTGCATTTGATCTGTGCAGCTATGGGCTTGTTGGAGTAGTCCTTAGTCGACAAGCTCCGTCGGTTTCAAGCTTCGGTAAGTGCCACGTTCCCACTAAATTCCCTAAATTGCTTAAAATTTATATCTCACCTGTTAAGCAAAAAGATCTACCTTCTAAATTACCGTTGTTTTCCCGTCTCAGCAGTGTCGTCCTTTATCTCCACCGCCACCCAGCCCCGTCTTCCCCTAATGTGCCCACTGCCCGAAATATAGTCACTTATACCCCCGCCCCTCCCCGCTCCCCCAGCCGGACCAGATCCCACTGGACGAGAGTGTGGTGGTCTGTAAGTACATCGAGAACCCGCTGCTGGTCGACGGCTACAAGTGCGACGTTCGCCTGTACGTGGCCGTCACCTCCTACGACCCGCTGGTCATTTACCTGTACGAGGAGGGCCTGATCCGCTTCGCCGCGGTCAAGTACGACCAGAGCGCCAAGATGCTGTGGAACCCGTGTATGCACCTGACCAACTACAGCGTCAACAAGTACCACACCAACTACGTGCAGTAAGTCGGAGGGATCGGATGGGAGGGGCGTGCTGGGGACAGGGATGCTGGCCTTCGGGGAAATAGCTTGACGAGTTCGGTGATGCTACAGAGCTTATGTTTAGGTTTGGTACAAAATTGAGAGAAGTTATGTTAGTATTATAGGTAGATACAAAGTTTGAACTCTTCCTGTTTTACTTCCAAATCGTGTTGTCTCAGTACTAACTTAGCCCATTATTCTTCTCATATCTCTGTCGAACCCGTTGCTCCGCTATCTCCAAGCTCTCTCCAACCAGTATTTGCGGACTCCGTCCCTCCGCGTAGATCCTCCACCTCTACATGACTCGTAATCCCTGACCTTCCCTCTCCCTTTTATCTCTCTCCCTCCAGAAACGATGACGCCGAGGTGGACGACTACGGTAACAAGTGGTCTCTGTCGGCTCTGCTACGGCATCTCAAACTGGCTGGCGAGGACACCACGAGACTGATGCAGGTAGATGGGGACCTGCATCAGTGGGGAACTTACCGTGGGATGGAGGAGTGAGTGAGTGAGTGTGTTTGACGCTGGGTGAGTGAGTGAGTGAGTGAATGAGTAAGTGAGTGAGTGAGTGAGTGAGTGAGTGAGTGAGTGTGTGAATGAATGAATGAATGAATGAATGAATGAAGGAAGGAAGGAATGAATGAATGAATGAAGGAATGAATGAATGAATGAAGGAATGAATGAATGAAGTGGAATGTATGCTGTTGGGATGTTTCGTGATGTTTAATGGATAAAAGGTCCCTTGCGAGATCGAATATTCTACGTTATTACAGACTGCCGTGATGTAGGATCAGCGTTGTTATAGTGTATTCGGGGTGTATCTGTAGCAGATCGTCATTTATCGCCGAGAACTCATGTCTCTGCGATAATTGGAACTGCGTGCTATGTAATCGCCCCATAATGATGCAGTGTCAACACTGACGGACATTTCACGGAAACCGTCAGCCGAGGAATGTCGGTGTGTTTTGTAACGTTAATGGTTGTGCTGTCCCACATAGTGTGGTACTGTGACCTTTTCTATAATCGATCTTACATAGTAAATTATTTACTTCATAGCCTCATTCCGCCAAGTATTTGGTTGAAACTAGCTGTCGATAGCACCACATGGACGATCGACATCTCTTCTGTCATTGTTCTTTAGAGCTCCTTGCGACGTGTGGACACTAACCCTGTGTGTTTGTCTGCCTGATAGGACATCGAGGCCATCATCGTGAAATCCATCATCGCCGTGGCGCCGACCGTCACCACGGCCTGTAAGATGTTCGTGCCCACCAGGAAGAACTGTTTCGGTGAGTGGCCGCCCAGGCCCGACCCACGAACGATGAAATGACTCACGGGCGACCGACTGACTCATGGCTGGGGGTCGGGAGAGGAGATTTCCTCACCGGTAGAACTCTGATGATCGGACTGGGAACGGGTGCCGGCGGCTTGGCGACTTTGGTACGACTTTGTTTGTTGGTGCTTATTACAGGATGTGGTGAATTTCCTGGTACGTAGTTTACCTTATTATTTATTAACTTAGCTTACCTGGTACCACCACAAATCTATTTGTGTCGTCCGAGCCTGACGCAAGCATAATTACGTACGCCAAACACGATACACATTGCAATGCATGTTGCATAAGTGCTTGTGTATGGTATAATGTACTTATAATTGACATTCCTGGTTGTTGCTACCTTCCGAGTGGCAGCTTACATCACATCACCACACAAACCCCTGACGTTCATATAACCCAGGACGCTTTTAGCGTCTCCTTCTCCCGTTCGCAGAGCTTAACTCTCCCCTCTCCTATCACAGAGCTGTACGGGTTCGACATCCTGATCGACTCCTCGCTCCGTCCGTGGCTGCTGGAGGTAAACCTCTCGCCGTCTCTGGGCTGTGACACGCCGCTCGACAGCAAGGTCAAGTCGGCGGTCATCTCTGACCTGTTCACTCTGATCGGCGTGCCGGCGGTGGACCCGGGCCGCGCCAGACAGGTCAAACAGAGGCAGAGGGCTGTCGTCAGGGTGAGTAAGAACGGGGGGGGGGGGGTAATGGTGGGGGATACATTATTGTAGGAGGATATTATGAGAGATATTAGGATGTCGAGAGAAGTGATTTTAGAGATATTACTCACAAGCATCTACTAAGAAAAGTTCGCTTTATTGAGCATATGCCACAGCCGGATGTGTTAGTTTGATTTAAGGCCATCCCATGCATTATTTGTTTGCCAATGCTTTCGAACGATGTTGGATTGCGCTGGGAATTACATAAGCATTTCAGAGTCGCAATCAATAGGAAATGATCCTCAGTAATCAGTATAACACTGTCATTGCCATGATCACCCCCCCCCCCCCCCCCCCCCCCCCCCCAGGTGCGCGCCCCCTCCATGGACTCCGTGCCGCGCGGCGGTAAGCCGCTCCGTTCGGCGCTCTCTGCCGAGGAGGCGCGCATCGTCCGAGAGGTGCGCGAGGAGGACGCGCGGCGCGGCGCCTTCATCCGCATCTTCCCGGCGCCCGAGACGTGGTCTCTGTACAGCTGCTTCCTGGCACCGGTCAACTCGCACCTGAACCAGATGCTGCATGAGGAGCTGTATCCGCACACCATTGGCGGCCCGCAGGGCAGCTCTGGTGAGGGAGGTGGTGGTTGTGACAGAGAGGAGGGGAGCGAGCCAGTGAGGCCGGGAGGGTGTCTGATTTTGTTTAAAAATACATGTTAGATGGTAGCCTCTTAGCAAGTGTGGAAGGGAAGCAAGCAGTTATCAAGTGTGTTCCCTAGGTGATGTCTGTAATGTATCTTGTCAATGCTGCATTAGTTTTGCGTCGATATGTTAAATATTCATTGTCGATCTACCGTTGGCACGTTTTTTCCGCATCGTTTTCGGTCATTTTCGTCGTATCGCATCATCTACCCATTTTCTTTGATGACATCACGTACTCCGGAAGTCACTCTAACCCTGCCCTGATCGGTGACCTTTGCCGCAGGTCCCCGCTCGCTGTGCCGCAAGAGCAGCAGTATCCCCTCGCTCAGCATCACGAGTCGGTCTCGCAGCGAGCGGACCGCCTGCTACGAACGCCCGCTGGCGCGCGGCTCCAAGGACGCCTTTGTGGGCGCCGGGGAGGGAGGACGGGACGCGGCCGAGCGGGCCACGGAGCGGCTCACCGTTAAACGGGAGATTATCGAACAGATGCAGCGTGGTGTCAGGATGAGGTGAGCGTGGAGACGGACTGTGGACGGGGGTGGTTGTGTTTCTTGAGATTTGTTCAATAGTTTCTGGGATAACGTCCTTGTGCTTAGTGAGCGTCATATTCTCGAATATTTTGTGCTTCCATGCCTACATGCCACTTGAAGCGTTGTTCTGCGTTCTGTTTGAGATATGCCGGACTTTGGTTTCATGTAGCCTCGAGTCATTTACACCCAAAATTTGTTTCGTCAAAATTAAGTAATTAATCGTCAAAATTTAGCCCTCCCTGGTGTGAATGTAAAGTAACCTCTACCTATATTGTCTCACTCTCGCCCATCTACCCAACCCGTTCTAACAGCAACACTTTCACCGTTCCAGCCGGTACCAGGCGCGTCTGGCGTTCAGTTTCTACCTGCAGCACATCCAGCGCCGACTGATGTGTAACATGGAACAAGTGCAAGGCTCTGGGCAGCTGGAGCTCGTGCTGAGGTTCATCAGGAAGGCGGCCAGAAACCTCACCGACGCCTACGCCATTCAGGTTAGTGCGGAGGCTGAGGGGATTGGTAGTTGCATGTGCACGGGGGTAGCATGAAAAGAGGTAGATTTGAGAGGGAAGGGAGTGAAGATGGAGCTTGGAAGTTATGGAGACAGTAGGTATATGTAAGCTGCTGAACTACGTAACGCGATGACTTCCAAAATCAGTATGCTGGTGCACTGAAAAAATGAACGTCATCTCGAACTCAGAAGAGCAAGCTAAATATTGAAGACATATCTAGCAGCTCTGTTTATTCGTCCACCGCTCTCACGCCTTTGCGCTCGCAAATCTCCTTCCTGCTTCTCATGCCTCAGTATTTCTGTCGTTCCATCAGACGCCGGGCCGCCACTTCACTCCAGTGGAGAAGGCGATTCTGATCGCCAAGCAGCTGGGCGACTTCATCCACCTGTACAACCGGGAGACACTGGAGCACGTGGCGCCGCGCGAGAGCCCGGCGCTGCTCGACGCCCAGCTGCACAAACAGTTCGTCACCGGGGCCAGGTGAGCCGACAAACGGGGATAAAACTGAGGTTAAGGGATGAAAAATGTTTGATATTGATCAGGACACTAAATTGCTATTCGGTGTGGTGTGAGGGGTGGTGGATAAAATCGCAGAATAAAGAGAATAGTGTGTGATTGCGATTGATGGGTGTTTACCGACAAGTGATGGGATTTGAGTTGAGGGCATGTAAAGAACGTCCATGCCTTTTTAAAGCCTTGTTTAGCACCTTTCACCCAGGTTCTTTCGTTTCTGTGCAGTCCTGTACTAGTCAGGAAACCTCCTTGGTCCGTGGTCCGTCCCTGTCAATGCTCCGCGGTGTGGGTTCGTTTGGGTCCATCTCGCTCGAGTCTGACCGTGTCTCCCTCCATCGGCAGTGAGTCGGACCTGGAGGAGGCGCTCACGCTGCACACCTCGCTGTTCAACTCGGCCGACCTGTTCCTGGGGCGCGCGCGCGCCCGAGAGCCAGCCTCCCGCGCGCGCACCGCCCCCTCCAGCGCCGCCACCGACGAGACGACCAGCGTGGCGCGCGCAGACGAGGACGGCGCGCCGGACTCGGAGACGGCGCGCGCGCGACAGACGGGCGCCCTCTCCGTGGGGAACCTGCTCAAAACGTCCCTGAGGGACTTCCCGGCGCCGGCGGGCGGCGGACGGGACAGAGTGCGAGCGCTCAACAAGATCTACAGGTAACGGACGGCGGCCGAACTGTAGCCTTCCCGCCGGGCTAGACCAGGGTCTGGACTAGGTCTGGTCTGGCCTGGTCTGCTAGTCTGGGCCGGGCGGACGCGCCCTGTGGGTGGGTGGGTGCGCAGCTGAGGGGCCCGTGGCGCCCCCTGCGGGCTGCCTCCTTAGGCGCGGACCTCGCCTTCACTTCCGAACCGATCTTCATGGGCGACGGCCGCGTCGAACGGCCGCCGTCGTCGCCGCGCAGCGATCTAGCTAAATCACCAGGGTACCTGTGAGTTGGCTTACAACACTAGTCAGTGACACCATAGCTAGTACTTATTGCGGAGCCGCTACCGTTTTCAGTGAGTGATTTGGGTGTAATAACGACCAGGAACTACTTTTGAGTAGTTTTGCGATGCGAGCAGACACTAATTGAAGCGTCGAAGCATCGAAATTAGTCTGGGTTCAGTGTGCTGAAATGTTCAGTTGATTGCGATACTAATCATGATACCAAGGCGGCGCTTTTGCGTCGTGGCGAAGCTAGTATTAGTGATCACTTCTATGCTAGTGAAGCAGCAATTCTATTTTCAAATTAGTCAATGTTATGTGTTATTTTACTGCGCATGCGTGTTTGTTTCAATATTCTTGTTCTAACCTCGTGTTGTTTTGTGTTATAGTTTTCTCGTTTAACGCTGAGTATCTTACTGCAGTGTCAGCGATAAGTGATTATGGCGAGGCAACTGCCAGCTCACTTCCTTGCACATTCTTTAGCTCAGTATTATCTGTCGGTAGTTTTTGCTATTCCTACATCCGAATACTGCCAGCTAGAGTATTATTTTTGGCAGTGGCCGAAGCTTTAACGCATAACTTACGTTTCCTGCTGCGTTGTGGATTATGCCAGGTCGATTGGTGTTTAGTGTGATTGTGTTTGTTCACAAATTATCTATTTATTTAGTACCAACTACTTCCCTGAAAATCATGTGTCTTACGAGTGCAAAAACCTATATGTGCTACTTACCAACGAGATTATTCAGGGCGCGGAGCAACGATCGTCTTTTTTCCTCGGCGATGACTTAAAGTTTGCGTGTTATGTACTGATGTCATGTTCCTCAAGCCGGGGCCTGCCAAGCCAAAGCCAATGGTGCACAATGGGCCTGTGTCGCGGCTCTGCGCGGTCTCTGGGACCGCCCGGCGGGCGCCGGCGGCCCGGCTTGCCTTTCATATCGAGTCATTGGGTCGGAGAGAGGGAGGGAGGGGAGAGAGAGGGATGAGAGGAGCGAGCGAATACAGTCAGGCACAAAGGGACTCTGGTGTTTGTCTAGCTGAGGGTGGAATAACGAGCTTTCAGATGGATAGCAATGAAGCTAATTTGGGAAACTAATCGGCCTTGAATCGGTGACTGACGTGTCTTGGACCATTCATAGTTACCTGCCTTCATCCTTTTGATAGAAACACTGGGACGTACTGAGCATCGGTTTTGTGTATTATTCGTACATGGTCTCTTCTCGTATATCGCGACACTCGTATTCACAGACAATGCACAGCGGACATACGACGCTATATACACATGTGTACAGACTCTCACTGGCTCGGGAGGCGGCGCCGCCGACCCATCACGCCCCGTACGTCCTCAGTTAACTTACTCCTCTCGACAATCGGTAATCAATAAATAACTTAATTGCTCGCGCACACACTCGCTGCCACTTGGATGCCGTCGCCGGCCGGCGCGGCGGCCGGCCCGACCAATGTCCTGGCTCCCTTCACTGGCGCGCCGCGCTCCACTGACGGCGCGATCGGCCCGCCACCTGTGGACGGGTTTGATAACTACTGGTTGTGGCGGCGGCCGCCTCAGAAGTTCCACCGGAAGGTGGGCTGCTGGTTGGGCGGCTGCCGTCCCAACTGCTCGTGGAGGCTGCGGCCGCTGCAGAGTGCGCCCGTTTCGTGAGTGGAGGGCGCCTCCGCCTTCTGACCTGCTGGATAGAGGGGACGGGGATTAGAGCTCGGCAGAGGTACGGATTAGGTGCGTACCCAGGTACCTCGAGCCCTACCACAACCACAGCGATCGTATGCATTCTTCATTCGATTCTTATTTTAAGCCACATCATCGTAATCTCTTTAACGTACTAGAAGCAGTCCTAACATCAGCCCATAACATGTAGACCTCGAATCCCTGAACACCACCTCGCTCCCCGACCTGCATCCCCTCGTCCTCTGTTCCAACCCTACTCCCTCACCCTCCCAGTCACTAATAACCCACCTGAGTTTTTGCGCCGGTACACGATGGCGCCGATGACGCCGGCGGCGATGACGGTGACGCTGAGCGCGGCCACCACGATGACGGCGGCCGTCAGCGGGAAGCCGTCCCGCTCGGTGCGCACCACCTCGCGCTGCAGCACGTACTGATCCTCGGCGGCCGAGGGCTCGCTGGTGCCCGAGCGCAGGTCGGCCCACAGCTGACGGTCGATGTTCCCGGCGAGCAGGCGGGCCTGGCGGCGGCGCGGCGCCGGCTCGCCAGACTCAGCGGACGGCTCTGACGACTCAGATGGAGCGGCCGGAGCCGGGGAGGAGACGGAGAGATTCTGCAGAGTGTCGTCATCGACGTTGGTAGCGTCGGTGGCGGCGGGCACGACAGTCTCTGTGGACTCTCTGGATTCCTCCTGCGGCTCCTCCGGTCTCAGCGCGCGTCCGAGCTGTCCTCCCCACAGCTCCGCGTCGCGGGAGGACACCAGTGGGAAGGTCACCTCGGGGATGGCGGCCAGGGCGGCGGAGTCCTCCCCGGTCAGTTCGTTACCGGTCAGGGCGTCCTCCCGCTCCGGGACGGGGATGTACTGAGGAGCGGCTGACGGAGCGGCCGGCGAGGGCTCCGGCTCCGCTGCCGGGGCTGCCTTCTCAGTGGTTGTGGTAGTGGTAGTAGTGGTGGTTGGCTCCTTCTCCGTGGTGGTTGACGTTGTGGTTGAAGTAGTGGTCGTGGTGGTGGGGACCTCCTTGATGACCTTCTTCACAGTGACCGTCTTGGGCAGGGCGTTGACGATCACCACCTCGCGCGTGCTGTCCCAGATGGTCGATGACCGCTCCTGAACAGACAGGAATAGACGTCAGCCACTTGGATCGGGACAAACGGCCGGTGTTTGTTTACGCATTCGAACAAGTGATCAGGCTACTCGTGTAACGTTTATATGACAACCATGGAGGTAACTGCACCTAACTACTGACCTCTTATTCTCCTTCCTTTCTTTATCTTTCTCCTATATCTCCCACCCTCTCTCTCTCTCCCTCTCTCACACTCTCGTTCTCTCTTTCTGTCTCTCTCCCTCCTCTCTTTCTCTCTCACTCTCTCTCTCTTCTCTCTCCCTCTCCCTCCCCTCTCACTCTCTCTCTCTCTCTCTCTCTCTCTCTCTCTCTCTCTCCCCTCTCTCTCTCTCTCTCTCTCTCTCTCTCTCTCTCTCTCTCTCTCTCTCTCTCTCTCTCTCACCTGACAGTCGACCCGCTCTCCGTTGACGTCTGTAAAGTATGGCTGACACGAGCACGGCTCGACGCGGCACGTCGCCGTCGGCCGGGCCGGACAGCTGGCGTTCCCACAGCTCTGTCCCCTACTGCACGTGCTGAGTGATCCACCCAGATGGGGACATAGCACCAGGTCGGGACAGCGCGCTTCGCAGGCCGCTCGCGAGGCGAAGTTGTTGGCGTTGCCGGCGCAGCCGCCGTAGGAGAACGGCTCGCACTCCTGGGAGACGGTGTTGTAGAACCACCGGACGTGAGACTCGTCACAGGGCCCGCTGCCGGCCGGCAGAGAACAGACGTCCACTGGGGGCACCAAGCAGGGGGAAGGTCAGGTCAAGAGAGTGACTAGCTAGGTCAGACTGACCGGCTAACTGGCTTAGCGTGTGTGCTAGTAGACTGACTGACTGACTGACTGACTGACTGACTGACTGACTAATTGACTGACTGACTGATGCTGGCTGACTGACTATAGTCCGTTTTTCTTATCTTTAGACTTCACTCCAAGATGTTTCGCAAGATATGCACGAGACAAAGCATGGCTTAGAAAAAATCAAGCCCTTCGGAAAAAGAAAATATTGCCTTGAAGCCTGGAGAGTGGCGCTCTTGGGTGCGGCAAGTGCAGATTTGTAGTCGCACAAATGTGTATTACATAAATAGGTAGGTACTTATACCTACCTGCTACAAAAATTAAGTTGGATAAAGTTTGGTATGCTAACCGAACTATCGATCCGATGAATTAAAGGGTACCTATAAAAGCGAATATCACTTGGAAATGAACTATTCTGCAAATGGACACAAGTCATCATCAGTGACTTTAGTTCAAGACCTATAGGGCTTGGTTCCAGCCGAAGTTTTTTGAAACCGCAGGTGCGTGCGACTGCGAGTGCGGACCCAATGCAAGGAAATTCTTGAAGGAGCTCGGCGTGTGGCTCGTAACAAGTTCTGGCGACTGTCGTGAAGCACTTGGTTTGTGGTTCGCTATCGCAGACATTCGAGTGAACGCGTTTTCGATAGTATTGACTGTGACGTTGTAATCCTCACGAAGTATCATGTGGACGGGTTAGACTGCGTGACGAGAGGCGGAGATGAATTATGCCTGTGGAGGTAGGCAACCCGCAGGACATGCGTGTTCAGCGGCGCAGGCTACCAACACGAGTTGGCTATATGAGCGTGTGTTTAGCGATGAATGCAGCATTGATCGAAATTAACAAATATACATACTATTTCAATGTGATGACATGTTTTGCTCGTATTACCCGCTAGTGTCTACAAATCTACCACCAGTAACTCGTAATACAAATTACAAAAGACAGGAAACACAGGAGTCGTACTCGTATATTGGGTATGTTTGGTTCACCGAAGCCATCGTAGGTCCCATGCGCCCTCAATCACTTTCACTGTCACTGTCGTCACTGCTCGAATCCTGAAGTGACACGATCACTGGCTCGATGTCCTCCATCATACCATCTGCTCGCCAGTACACCTCTTCCAGTTCTCGCACGTGGCGGCAGCAGTTTCGCCACAAGTCCGGTGGCGCGGCGTCTCGGCTATCCAGCAGCAGCCTTTCCACGTCATTCAGATGCCCAGTGTTGTTGAACTGGCGGACGTGCGTCTTCATGTTTGCCCAAACCATTTCAATCGGATTGAGGTCGCAATGATATGGGGGCAACCTCAGTACTTCATGACCGGCCTCCTGTGCCACCTTGTCCAACACATACTCGCGTGTCTGTTTCAGAGGGCGAACCAGCTCAAGAAGCTCGACCTTCCGCAAGTCCGGATCAGGATTGACATCATGTACCCGCAGCCATTCTTGGATCGCTTCCTTCCTCCAGCTAGCTGTAGGTGCCTTGTTAGCACATCTTGAATGATACGAGGCGTTATCCATAATGATCACGCTATTCGCTGGCAGGTTCGGCAGAAGTTGGAGTCGAAACCAGTCCTCGAAACAGCTCGCGTTCATAGACGTGTGATAGTCGGCAGACTTGCCGTCCGTCCTCATACACATGAATGCTCCTGGGGTGAAGCCGCTGTCCGAGCCAGCATCGACTATGATTAGGCGCTTGCCCTTCCCTGTCACTGGCTTATGGCCGGCCACGTCGTCACTGTCCAACCACGCGACCGTTCGCATATCAAACTGGTTATACCAGGTCTCGTCCAAGTACACTATAGTGCGCTCTGGGTCGGAGCTTCTAATCTTCCGAATGCGTCTCAGGAACGCGTTCCGGGCTGCCACCACCTGAGGTTTTTCAACCAGCAGCTTTCGGTTGTTCACTTGTCGGAACTTGAATCCTATTTGGAACAGCTGCTTTCGTATGGTTGAGCGCGAGATAGTCTGCTCGAACTTGTCCTGAACTGCCGCTCTAATGGTGTCCAAAGTGACCTTTTTCCCTTCCAGGTACATGGCATGCACCATTCTTCTGAACGCGCACTGGTCAAACTCGTCGAAGTACTCGCGTGGCCCCCTGTTAGGGCGCTGGCGGGCTGGAGACTGGCATCCATGTGTCTCTATTCCACTCTTGAATGCATTAACAGAGGCAATCGACACTCCAGTAGCAGAGCTGGTCTCCTTCGCTACGTTAATGCTAGCCGCTGCACTCTCATCACCTTGCTTGAGGTATTCATCTTTCTTTCGAATAAAATATTGGTAAACATTATAAACCACTTGTCTCGCTTGTGCACCGATCGGTTTTCCTTGCCGAAGTTTTGAGAGCATTGCATATTATTGTATACGAATGGATATAAATTTCAAAAGATATATAAAAGTCTCAGATTTCCTTGATACACAGCAGACATATGGTGTGTTCGCTTTTAGAGCCAGTGGCAATGAGCGTGACGCTTGATTTTTATTATCAAATTGTGTGACGTCACGTGCTAAGTTATCTGCACATCTTGGAGTGAAGTCTAAAGATAAGAAAAACGGACTATAAGGTAGTTGGTGAGTGTCTGACAGTGACCGGCTTTCTGAGTGAGTGAGTGAGTGAGTGAGTGAGTGAGTGAGTGACTGAGTGAGTGAGTTCAACTCACCGGGCTGCTGGCACTGCCGTCGGCACTCCTCGATCGAGCCGAAGTTGTTGTCGTTGCCTCCACAGCCGCCGTAGAGAAAGGGCTCACACTGTCCCAGGTTCTGATCGTAGTAGAACCGAGGGATGCTGGCGCGGCACTGGCCAGAGAGGACCGGCTGGCTGCACGGCCGCTCACACTGCACCTCGCGACCGGTCACACTGCAGGAGAGTGGGAAGAGGGAGCGTCAGTTAAGCCGCTCATACTGGGCCTTGCGACCCATCATACTGTTAGGAGAGACGAGTCATACATGTTCGGTGTTCCTACTGAAGCTAATGGGACATCGATAGACGCTACTTCATAGCCCGACGACAACATAACGACATTACATTTAATTGTACCAGGTGCGCTTGTAATGCGTTTCTGACAGTTTCTATCACCTGTGGATCTTTCCATAGATCAGAAGAGGCAGCATTATTTCCCGCCGCTTAATAACACGGCGCTACCTACGGCTGACACTGAATTCATATCCTCATCCTATTCCGGCTATGCGGCATCTACTTACCTATAGAATGTGGTCTGGCAGTTGTTGCACGGATCGGCGACACAGACGGCGTCCTCGTGGCCGGGACAGGCGGCGCGGAGGCACTCGTGACGGCACACCTTGGGCGTGACGCCGGCAGGGCAGACGGGGGAGAGCGACTGACGCTCCAGCAGAGAACCTGGAGGAGAGAGAGGGAGGGGTGTGAAGGGCCAGGGCTGCTGGGAAGACGGCGATTATGACACGGGTAGTTATAGATACATCAGTTGGTGCAGATAATTTCGGCTACATTTGCTGGCCCGATAAAAGTAAATAAAAACCTGCATAATGACCGGTCAAATAAACAGTCTTATCTACGCTCGCTCATCGTCTCTATTGTGCCTAAAGCCTTTTGCCCGGTCTGTCTGTCTGTCTGTCTGGCTGGCTGTCTTTCCAATGTCTGCGTCATATCCCAATATGCGTCAATGTCTAATGTCTATCTGACCATGTCCCTTTGTTTCCATCTCCCTGTTCCTACCTTCCCGCCCCCTCGCTCTTCCCACATCTCCCCCTCTCCGAGCTCCCGGTCCCCTCACCCTGTCTCCTCATTCCCCCCTAAACTCACCATCCTCGCCGCACCGGACCAGTCCGCGGGTCAGTGAGCTGTGCACGGGCCGTCCGGTGGCTGTGACACACCACATCAGCCCGGCGGCGCCCTGCTCCGGCCGGTAGCTGCCGTCCTCCCGACAGACGGGAGGCGAGACCACCATGCCGTCGGCCAGCAGGTCGGTACGGTGGGACGAGTGGTGCTGTCCCGAGCCGGCAGGGCTGGGGAGAGAGCACAGGGGTTAGAGAGGGTCACAGGAGGTCATAGTGAGACCGGCTGAACCCAACAAAACGAAAACAAACAAAAACATAGTGAGACCACGGCCGCAGTCGGGTCGCATAGGGTCATGATAATGCCTTGTTATGAATACATATGGTCACAAAGGTTGTTCCTCTTAGGTGACGTTTGCCAATGCTGCACAATACAAAACGCCACATAATTGCCCCTTGTTTGTCTTTGCAAACGAGACAAAACATCGGACCATTTCAAACGTCCTCGTCACTTCTACCATAATTATTGACTTCCGTTTACTCGATGATAACATACTTCCGTACCGTACACCCGAGCCTCCCGCGTGCCGTTTATTCGGCACGCCCACAATCCCCTCTCGCCTCCATTCAGTAGCCGGCGGTCGAGTGAAGGTCGCTCACCTCTGTGACAACATTCCGAGCAGAGCGGCGTATAGACGAACCGAGGAGCGATCCCGCGCCTCGTACTGTCCGTGACGCTTCCATACGGCAGAGTTCAACACCTGCCCGAACGACAGAGATGTCATCAGAGAGATAGCATCAGGCGACGGCTGGCCAGACAGAGATGGTGGGTGGGTGATATGACAAACAATAGGACAAAACAGCGCACAGTCAGTCACCGGACGAGAGAAGAGGCGCGAAAACTTGCTCAGAAAACAAGTCAGTAGAGTGGCTTGAACGGTGCGGTAATAGGATTTAAAATTTGAATTTTGCGCTTGGGCTTCCAGCTCTGTTTACCGTTTCATTGGGAGTATCTATCGAAAGTCTCGTCACTTGCGATAGCCGATTTTCAAACTTCATCTTAACCGATCGCGAACCTTGAGACATGTTTCCAGCTGACTTGGTGTCAAGCTCTACCCCTGGACGATCGACTGACCTGCTGCCTCTCCTGCTGACATTGTGTCAGCCCGGTGCTGCAGTTGACCTCCTCGCCGTCACGGTCGTAGAAGCGGTACCCACACCGACCGCACGGGTCAATACGGCACGTGGCAGTCGGGTCTGACAGGCACACCTTGTTCTCACACAGTGAGCGCGGACACACGTGCACCGTCTCACCGCGCTCACAGACTGGAACGTGAGAGTGGGGTGTTAGATGGGCGCTTACTGATGAAATAGCAATGTCACGGAATACGAGAGAGGGACGTAATAAAACACCACTGTTTTAGTGCAGTGAATAATACAACAAGATAAAGTGAGTTCAAGTTGTGACATAGACGAAATAAAGTTAGTGCAGCCAAAGTGCGCTTTCCCGTTCCACCCCGCTCCGCCCCTTCCCATCCCATCTTCTCTCGTCCCTTCCTCCGTTCCGTCTTGTCTCCTCCCTTTTCATTCCCTTTGCCATTCCTCGCTCTCACACTCACTCTGTGTGCGGCGCGGCAGCAGACTCAGCCGGCGCCCCTGTCGCGATGAGCAGCTCGGAACTCCAGCCACCATACTCCCATCCACCATTCGTCCATCCGAGTCCACACACCAGCAGAGACCAAACTCGGGCTGGCACTGGATCGGCTCCCAGGCGCCCGTCACAGCGTCACACTTGGGGATGAACGAGACCGTCTTGTAGAGCTCGAGAGCCAGCTCCGCCTTCTCACGGCGCTGCTGGCACGGAGTCAGAACTGCGGAGGCAGGGGGACGCGAGGTCAGATAGGGGTGGGACTATGTTCGTAAATAGGCGGTGTACCTATCTGCATAATATGTGCGCTGGAGGGTTCATTCAGACTTTAATCACTACTTTCCGATATAATTACGTCCCACAGCCGAAGTGACATAAGATAAATTCGCCGGATCTTTCTGGTTCGTTCACTTACACTGACCAATATTGGATCTTATTTCTCTACTCCTTCGTACCTGGACAGACGGCGCGGCACTCGTCTAGCGTGTGGAAGTTGTTTGCGTTTCCATCACAGCCGCTGTAGATGAAACTGGTGCACTTTCCGGCGTCTCGGTCAAACCTCCACCGGACCAGGCTCTGGCCGCACGCTCCGCTGCTCTCGGGCAGATGGCACACGTCACCTGCAGAACAGAGCACATCAAGGTCACCATCTGGCGGTCACCGTCCGCTAGACACATTCCAGGTCAAGGTCACTCGGTGGAGCGCGGCGCACGCGAACGGTGACGACACCTTATCCGGGGGTAGCTGACCATGAACTCAGCAAGTCCGGTTTGTGAGAAGCGAGACCCCATAGGGTGAGTCAGTGATGGTTCCCAGAAAAACTGTTTGCATTGTGTCGCACGCAGCCCTCTTGCGCAGTTTGAGCCTTTGCGGTCATCATGGAATGCGATTGCTGAGGTAACTATCATCTAACTCCCTTTCCGCTTGACCTCCTTTTCCAAAGTCACGTGTATTTTCAGAACATAAGAAGCTTCGACAGAGGTGAGCACGCAAGCTCCAAGAAGAATCCGACATCCGCCACTACATGAGCACATGGTCATTTTCTCTCGGCCGTAACACGCAAACGAGCGCCAGCGTCGGTCGGGGTCCGTGTAATTAAATCTGCTAAGCCAATGTAAGCTACCGCAAAACTCACGAAACCGCCAGGTACAAATCAGATGCACATCATAACATGAAGCTAAGTACTGCTGAGAACAACAAAAATGTTATAATTTATTGTTACGAATATACTTGTTTCATATAAAGTGCGTTCAAAAGGCCATACAAATTAAAACACATATGAGAGTTATAAACATAGCCATCAAAGAGTAAAAGGAAGCCGGGGAAATCTTTGTGAAAGCTGCTGCTACGTGACATGTTGCTTCCAGTTTGCTAGTAGGAGCTGATAAAACAAACAACTTTCGCCTCATAACAAAACTATAACGTACAATAGCTCTTAGATGTTTCAGTTAAAACTATATAAATAGTAACTACCATGTTGATAGAAAAGTGTTAAAGCATAAAAACAAAGAATAGGAACGCTTCGTAGGATCTAAAGTAGCATAAATACAACAAATCGTCATTCAACAATCGTGGGTCTCCCACTGCAGTTCAATCCATCCAACCTCTCCACAGATGCTCTCTGCCCCGCGCCGTCGTCACTCAATACTCACGGGGCTTGGGGCAGCAGACGTCGTACTCGTGGAAGGGACTGATGTGGCACAGATGGGTACCGGGACAGGCGGGCTGGCCGGGGCCGCAGCGGGCGCCCGGCAGCGGCCGGCCCGTCGGGCAGGGGTCGGTCACGGGCGGCAGGCAGAGCGCCAGGGGCGGGCACGGGCCGGCCACACAGCGCACCGGCACAGGGCGGCACTCCAGGCCGTCCCTGCAGCGCACCGACTCGCACGGGTGGTGGCACTGGCAGGTGGGGCAGCCCTGGGCGTCCAGACGCCGGCCCGACGGGCAGAACACCGGGCAGCTCAGCCGCGGGCAGGACGACAGAGCTGCGGAGATGGGGACATGCGTCAGCATCAGAGACCATTCACTGCTGCGTAGAGGGACGCTGATGCAACCAACACGTGACAATGACCATTGAACTTTAAGCAGGACATGAATGACAATGAGCTGCAACGACGCATTAAGAGAAAGGGATCCACCTCCTATGACTATAGGCAATGTAAATTATGCATGCATGTTTGGAGAACATGTCTTGACTTTTAAGAGGCCTCAATGTTTGGCTGCCTGTCCCCCTCTGCACCCTCTCCCCACCAGTCACCCCGTCTCCTCACCAGGCGTTGTGCAGTTGACGTTGTGCCGGCCGGCGGCGCGGGTTCCGGCGCGCTCCCTGCCGGCCTCGTCCACACACCAGCAGACGCCCAGCACCGGGTGACACTGCACCTCGGAGTAGAGTCCGTCCTGATCGCGGCAGTGAGGGATGTAGGTGCGGCCCAGAGGCACGCCAGACGAGCGGGCGCGCTCCTCCAGCACCGACTTCTCATGCTGACACGCTGGGGGACGGAGAGGGGTGTGTTAGAGACGTGGGGAGCAAAGCGGTGTGCCTAACTACCTCCGAACGATAGTCATGCTTCGTCAAAAAAGTATCAACTTTCAAGGAAGAAACTTGTTTCACAAATTTTCTCAATTAACTCTGTTCGTTTTATGCAGTTAAGTTTGCTAACGGCTTTCCAAATTGGTGGTATTATCTTGTTTTGTTTTGCAGTCTTCAGCCGAAGGCCTGTGGCACAATAGTACAATACCCCACAGCTCGTGTTACTGTGCAATGCTGCGCTACAGTCTCCCCTCTATCCACCTTCACTGGTATACTGTGCCGCCGTACATTTGAAGTTAGTGTGCTATGCGCTGCTGCAGTCTCCTCAACACTGTTGTGCTATTCTGCTATGCAATTCTGTAGTCTCCAAGGTACAGTCCTGTGTAGGTAGACTGTACCGCAACAGCCGGGTTAGCGAATGTTCATTGTTGCAGTCTCCAGTGTAATACGTCATGGGTGTTGAACTGGGAGTCAAATGGTGTTATTTTTCTATGCACTTTTGCAGTCTCCAAGGTACGGTCCTGTATAGGCAGACTGTGCCGCATTACAGCTGGGGTAGCGAGTGTTCACTATTGCAGTCTCCCGCACCCTATACCTACCTGTACAGTCACGCTAGCGAGTGTTCACTATTGCAGTCTCCCGCACCCTATACCTGTATGCCTATGTAATTTATAGAGAAGTGGCATTGTTCCAAAAAGTAAACACGATTATGAAGAATTTGTCTTCCTTCCATGCAACTTTATGTGAGTGCTGTCATGTTGTGCGTTTGATGTATCTTTGAATTCCTGAATATCTTCATATTTCTGCGCACACTTTCATTTTTCCTAAGCCCTACCTACATCGATATTCGATCTTGAAGGTCAATCAGTTCGCCTTGCAGTGAAAGTTTTCCTATACATAACAGTTTTTCGTGTACGGTGTCCTTATCAATCCTGCTGCTGACATATACAGCGCACGCTTCATAAATCGTGCGCCATAACTTAGCTTGAACTCCCATTAAAACGTTTACCGACCGTATGCTGCTCACGACTCCTGCAGTCTCTGTGCACCACCGAGCATGGTATGAGACACGCTATTATTATTTGTGTTGTCTGCAAGGTTGCAGCTCAGGGAAGCCGGGCTCTGGGAACTGTAAACCTTGAGAATCAACAAGGTGCTTTGCGGGCCGCCGTGAGAAGTCACAAAGGCCGTGAGAGTATCAGGAAGGTGAGAGGGGTGTGGGGCGGGAGGTTAGCAGGGTCAGAGGGTGAGAGGGGTATGGTGGGAGGTCGGGAGGGTGCAGTACTGACCTGTAGCCAGCAGTGGCCGCACACACTGGGTTCCGCAGCCCGTAGAGCAGCACTTGTGTTCTCCGGCACAGTCGGAGTCCGATCCACACTGCAGTTCACAGCTGTGAGCGCCGACCGGGACCGAAAACGGGCACTGGCCTGGCGACAGAAAGGACATACGCGTCGTCAGCACATGCTTAGGAACATGGTGTTCGGGGTCTTATGTTGCAACAATGAAGCCTTCTGTGAAATATCTGTATTTCGTTTTGCCCGAATCTAAACGGAGACGAGGGATAAGTTGAATCTGTTGCAACCATATTGGCCATATTAGAACCTCAATCTAGAAGTGCGCCCGTTTACGTACCTGGTTTCTCGAGTTTCTGCTTGGTGTCCTCCTCCCTCAACTGCTCCTCCTCCAGGAGATACAGATCCTCCTCGGCCAGAGCCTCGATCTGGTTCGCGCTGGAGCCGCCGCCGCCGCTGTGGCGCGCCTGCACGTTGTACTGCTGACGCGCCTGCTCCTCCCGGAGGTAGCTGGCGCGCGCCTCCATCCCCGACTGGAGCTGCGCGGCGGCGCTCTCCCCCAACTGAGCGCTCTGCAGAGCCGCCGCCAGGCTGCGGTGACCGTCAGCCTGCTCCGGCTCCGAGTAGTCCCTCAGCGCGGCGCTCCTGGCCTGCTGTCCCTCCGACTCAGCCGGCTGGGAGTGGCTCATCAGGACGTTCACCACGCTGTCCACCACGTCACTGACGAGCTCCGTCTCCGGCTCCGGACCGGCCCCGCTCGACTCGTCCAGGGAGACCGCCTGATCAGCCTCCACTCCTGGCCACTCACCGTCCAGAGCCACCACATTGTCGTACTCCTCACCCGCCAGCAGCAGGTCGCCGCTCGACTCAACAAACTCACTCTCTGGAGACTCTACTGACTCAGTGGTTACAGCCGACTCCTTGGAGTCAGTCAGAGGTAGGAGAGACTCCTCGGCGGCCTCGGTGGGTACGATGTTGTCTTCGGCGATCGGGACAGTCTCCGGTTTGTTCTCCGGTATCTGCTCCTTGGGCTGTTCCTGGGCAGTATTCTCCTCAGGAATGGTTTCAGCAGGGGCAGGAGGGCTCTCCGGCTCAACAGCGACGCCTGAAAAAAGATAAAATTCAGCGCATGCTAATGATTTTATGTTTATGATCGGTTCGTTTGTTTTATTCGATATTCTACACGTCACGGACGACATTTAGCAAGTACAGCTAAGTCCATTTCATTCTTAAATTGTAAGTGACCATGCAATGCAGTTCTGCTCTCAAGGGCGAATGAAAGTTCGTTGTCAAATGTCCCAAGGGCCCAAGGCTATGAGAAATTGTTACTTGTGTTTTTACGAAACTGTGCTCCTGCGTTTTGCAAAGATCAGAGATGGTGCAGTATTTCCAAGGCTTGCATCCAAATACCATTGGGAAACAATACCGCCAGCAGACTTGCTGAGTGCAACTGATCTGAGCCCTAAGGGCCACTTCAGCAGCCTATGCTTGCACTGGCGTGTGTCTCCATTATCTACGATCATTGGAGCATGCTTTGAATTTACGCTGAGGGGGCGTGTTTACTCACATTTGGGCGTGGCCTGGCAGAGCGGTCCGTGGCAGCCGGGCTGAGTGTTCGGCACGCACACAGTCCCCTCTGGACAGACAAACTCGTCACAGGGCCGGGCGCACACACAGCTGGGGCAGCCGGTGGCGTCCGGTACCCGGCCGTACTGGCAGACCTCGGCACAGCGCAGATCGGGGCAGCCCAGAGAGCGGCCGCCGGCGATACGGTTCACTGCGGGTCACCAGAGGTCAGGTCAGCGGCTGGGGAGGATACTGCGGTATAAATGTCTTCAATCTTCACAGATAATATAACAATGCTAGTCGAAGATATTTGATATAAGCATGCAACGAAAAACAAAGGTCATCTCTGCTATCAAGCAACTGGCAGAACACTGAAATCTGCCGCATTGTTTTCGAAACATCACATTGAATGTAATCTACGAATCGGAGTCGCCGTCTTCATTGCAGTCAACTGCACGTTGTGTGGCAGAATGTGTTGCATTACTCTCGTCCCCTATCCCACGCCACCTCCAACTGACCCTCTCTGAACCCCAGCCCGCTCAATAGAGCACTTCACGGATAGGCTTTTTAGGATCCGGCCCGGCCCATATCCGGCAAGTCATATCCAGATCCGCCCATTATCCGCCTTTCTTTGAATATCAGAATCCGGCCCACCCATGGCCCGTATTGCAGCCAAACTTCCAAAAAATATCCGTAATAATCCGTTTCACCAATAACTGGTTTCACCCAAAACTGGACTAACAAATTCAATCTAAGGGACCAGACAGCCATACATCTCACAGACCATCATGGTTCCAAAAACCATGCTTATAAACCTAAAACCACATGAAAATCACCACATTGGTAAACTAGGTATCATCCTGCCGCTTAACACATTAGGTTAATTTTTAACTTCAATGTTGAATGTTAAAATTTTGATCCGTTTTGATCCGGGTTCAACCTTCAATTCCCAAATCCGGCCCGCCCATATCCGTTCTTTTTTAACAAATTTAGAATCCAATCCTATCCGGTCCGCGGATTTATCCGTGGATAACGGATTTATCCGGCCCATGAAGTGCTCTACCGCTCAAGTCGTTACCAAGCCAAACTGACCGACCCGTTTCCCCTCTCCCTCAGTCACCCCGTCGTTCACTTCTCTCCACCTACCATCAGTGGGCTGGCAGATGACGGTGTCCGCTGCGCCCATCGTCCCTCGGATGTTGGTGCCGTCGTCATCGACACACCAGCAGACCAGGCCGTTACGGGAGCACTGGCGGCGCTCGAAGCTGCCGTCAGAGGCGCACTGTGGGATGTAGCCGCGACCCTGCTTCTCGTTGATGATCATCAGCTCTGCCAGCTCGCGCTTCTGCTCACACTCTGCAGGTAGGGAGAGAGGGACGAGGTAAGATATGAATAACGGACGATTTCGTTGCAGTAAAGCTAGAGAGTCGAGAAATGTATAAGGGCAACTCTACAATTTTTTAGCTAACATTCAATCCTTGCTCCTGCATCGTAAGAGCTTGGTAAGAGTAAATCGGTACGGAGATGGCGACTAACGTTTTAGTATGATTGAGACGAAACATAAATATGGATATATTTATGTTTCGTAAATCATAGAATCACAAAATTTTATTAGTTAAGCGTGTCATTGATCGCCTCATACGTTTTTCATGTCAACTCACTGGTCTTGTTTGATGTCGGCACGCAGTGCGTTCCACACTCGTGTGATCGGCAGCAGGTGTCATATCTGGAGCACTGGAAGTCGAACTGACAGGGCACACCGCACTCCTCCTTCTGACCCAGCGGAGGCGCGGGGCAGCGGGCTGGCGGGGCCAGGGCCTTCTCCATGGAGGGACAGCACACGCCATACTCGGCACCTGAGGGAGGGACGGAGCGGGCTTCGTCTAAATGGGCGATATATCACAGAGAGAGGAGCGATGGCAGGGGGATGATAAATAGCGTAAAATATAAATCAGAGGCACACACACTTGCCTGATATGTGAGCTAGGCCAATATTCTACGGATTTGCTTGCAGACAATGTTTCATCAAAACATCACTAAAATACACCATGAATGGACTTTTCAGTAATTGCAGTGAATAGTGTAAAAGGGAGACATCTTACCTGTGGGCACCTGACACTCGTGCAGAGGCGGGCACTGTGGTTTGCCGGGGTCAGTGCCGCAGAGGAACGGTCTGTTACCCTCAGCGAACGTCAGCGGTCGGCCGGCCAGGCACAGCGTTTCCAGTGACCGCGGCCGCTTGCCTGAAACGAACATATTCACACGAGACGGTCAGCGCTCGTGTCGATCAGGTAAATACGGCACAATTTCTCATTGTTGTTAGTTATACTGAATTAAGACGTGAAAACCTTCATATGCCTTTAGGAGTTACATATATCGTGTGCCCGTACAATATACAAGAATATGAAATGAGGGCGATGTTTTCTAAAAGGCACATAAGTTTCTCCCTCCGTGCGATATTACTGTCGCCGTCATCGCTTGATATGAATTTGTAGTTCCTTCAGAAGCATGAGCTATGTGCTGCGAGCAGTTAAGGAGAAATCGGGATTTAGATAAGGCCTGACTGGTCGACGATACGTGTCATCGTGGTCCATTTGTCATTTGCTGACACGGCGTAGTTTCACGAGGACTCCCGATAATGAAGTCCATTATCGAGCTCCCTCGAGCGTTTAGGATGGCCTTTTTCTGTCAGAATTCCGATAGACCACAGCGGAGTAGTTGAACGGCCTTCGTAGGCCACCGGAGTGGCATGCACTTTCGATGACATCATTCCGTAGTAATTAGCAAAAAAAATGGTAATTACACCCGTGTTTCGCTTCGCACAGCTGACGCAGAATTACACCACTTGACCACAGCTGTAAGTCGAGAAGGAGCGGACGAAATGGCATGTAATACCTACAGCTGTTCTTCGTTTTATGCGTAACTCCCGGGTTTAATTCCCCTGAAAATCTCCTACATTCTAATCCCTCTCGGCTCCAATGGAACTGATTTGAGATAGTTTTGATATTGAATAATATTGCTAGTTTATATTAGTTAATAAAACATTCCTATTATAGCTACGCTTATCAGTTCTAGAGCGTTCACATTCACACCCTTAAGGCAGCGCGCAAAAAAAAAAGGCAGCGCGTCTCTCTATACTCACACGTGGGTACGGGCGGGCAGGGCTCGTTGGTGCACGGCATCTCTTCCAGCTGACAGGAGAGTTTCCCGGGACACTGCACCTCCTGACACGGGTCCCAGCACTGGCACAGCGGACAGCCTCGCTCGTCCAGTTTGAAGCTGTACGGACACAGCATGCGACAGGTGACGTCCGCGCACTCGGCCTGTCCTGCTCGGCGAGAAAAGAACGGGGAGGGACAATGTCAACTGTCATGTCATGTGTTAGAGCGCAGTATGTTATAGGTACACAGTCAGTGCGCTAGGCAATTTAATAAATAATGGAAGTGTTGTACCCATTAATAATACTGATCACAAAAAAACTTTTGAAAAGACGTCTTTGCTAAACATTTTGATAATACGATGACGATTAGGCTTAGCTCCTTTTTTTCACATCGGTGCATATGATTGGGGGCAGCATGCATAATGCATATATTCCCATACCTGCTACATTGCATGATTAAATCGAGACATCCAGGCATTTTAATGGCACGTGCACTGTACCACACTTTTCAAAGTTTAATGCAGTGCTTTAATATTGCCAGCCGTGTGGTTCAAGGGGTGTGGTTAAACGCGTTGAACCACACGGCTGCTGACGTCACTATCAATTATAGTTGTGAGCTTTTTGGCAGGTATGGGAAACACCTTCCAGCCCTAAGGCCGGGAATTCAATAAATGTCACCTCGCTTTTTTAGCGAAAAGCACCTCGGGCCTAACGGCCCTCGGAGTTTTGGCTAAAAAACCTCGGTGACATTTATTGAATCATCCCAGCCCCGGGCAGGAATATATTTACTCGTAAGCCCGTTTTAAATGTCACAACATTTGCCGTCTTTGATCTACTCGTAGTCATCTGCCTCAGCCAGTAATATGAGACCTTCGGCCTAGGTTTAGATAGAGGATTTCACCACAAGTCGGCATTCGTGCGTGGGTGCTTAGTATTCATGCCGCATACCCTGCCGTATCTCCCGACTATGCCCTTAATCCGCTCCAAATAGCATACCACGGCTTATAGTGCATGTCCGAGTTCTATAAAGTACACCAAGGCTCAAATGAATTTATATTTGCTTGCATGATTTTTGCGAGATGCTTATTCGGGTGTCTTGGCTCATTCATGCATGCTTACCAATGGGAACGCTTAACAAGAATGGAATTTACTGAATTCGCAATTGTCAGAATTCACTTGTGCAGATGGTTGTACTCAAGGAAATAAAAAAGACGAGACAATTTTTGGAATATTTAGTAAAAACTTAGAGTAGTTGCACCCGACACTACACGAAAGGATTCGTGAGCTGGAGCCTGTTTCGTGATTTCGGTATATTGCAGCGGTAGAAGTTTTTGAATGCAGTGGTCACGAACACTATAGCTGATAATTGAGTGACATTGAATGACAACGTTCTAATCAAACTTTATCTACAAAAGTGCACTGAAACTGTCGTCATTCGTGCGACTTCGAACATGGGCAAAAGCTATAATGTTGGGACTTACAAGATTATGCGGCATGATAGCTTTTAATAGCATTCGTATGCCGTGATCCTTTTTAAGCGTCAAACTAAGGCACACTGCGTGTGCTTCGATAGACTTTAGCTCTATATGACAACGTCCATTTCAATCGGCTTAGCTTCTTTCAATGTCGTTCATAATACGATTAGTACTTTATAGGAATGTGAACATTTCAAAAATGTTGTCGACAACTGTTTTTAAGCATGATCCTCGTAGATTTGTTTGTTTTTATCGGACACGACATTGAATTGTTCTAAATTCGTGATGCGAATTAACCCGTAGCATGGAATGGGATCACGCTATTATTCATGACCCTGGCATGCTGGTTAGCTGAGTGCTTTGAACAAACATGAAATTATGATGTAAGGTGCATGTGCGATCGTCTAGCAAGGCTAAAACTCATTAATGATATACCTTTATAAGCTAGATAATAACAAAGCTAAGTAGCCCGTGACCACGGCGTTACTTACTGGAGCAGTTGGTGAGCTCGAGGGACCGTGCCCGGGTGCCGGGCCGCTCAAATCCATTGTCGTCCACGCACCAGCAGAATCCCTTGAAGGGGTCGCACTGGACGGACTTGAACTGGCCCTCGGGGGTACAGTCGGGAAGACGCACCCGCCGGGCCGCGTCGCCGCTCAGCGACTTACTGCGCCGCAGTGAGTTCTTCAGCTGCTGCTCGCACGCTGGAAGGAATAGACGGACATCGGTCAGAGGGGCACACGTGAAACGGAGAGATAGAGGAAGTCAGTCTGGTAGGACATGGCTCACTGGCAAGTTATATTTAGGACTCAAAATGCTCCACACTGAGTTAGGTAGCGAAGCATTCACAAAACCATCAAAACAACGCGTTATGACGTTTACAGCATAGTTGACATTAATGTCACGAAACGTTAACGGTCACCATGTCACTCTTCAGCCTATCTGTACCTAAGCCTGTCTGACTATCTGTCTGCATGCCGTCCGTGCCGTTCGCGTGTTCCCGCGGAGGGTCGCGCTGGCTGCCGTCCAGATAAGGCAGGGCGCAGGGCGGCCGTCTGCAGAGAAAGTGCCGGCCGGTCGGCTGCATCCCGCACTGGGTCGGGTCGGTGACCCCGTCTGCACCGCCCACCCAGCCGGACCCGGCGCCCGGCGCCCGGCGGGTCAGCTGAGTCCCGACACGGCGCCATCAGCTGAGCTCCAGCACGGCACCATCAGCTGACCATGGACCGAGGGCGGCCAGCTGACCTGACCATACAGTCGGTTGTAGTCATAGGTCAGACCACGCGGACTTGTACGCCAGCTGAGTCCACACTGGCTAAACCGGCACTCGGCGCACCGCTTGCGGCATACCAGGAAGATCGGAAATAAAATTTCATTTTCCAGTCATAAGGCAATGATAAATGCTGTGTCCTGGAATATCATACTATTGAATCAAGAAGCTTGCTCTAAGACCGCTGGGTGGAGCGTTCAACGTGCGAAAGATCGCCGTTAGAAACCCGTTTTCCAGGCCATCAGCGATGACACAGTTAAACGAAAATTGGGTGGAAACTTATTACCGGATTACGAGCACTTTCAGTCACTTTTTCTGTGATATTAAAACCGCAAGTGTAACGGTTCTGGCTGCTCATATACCTCCGGTGAAATATCTACCACGCTAAGCTTCAACAGCTCTACAACTATCAGCCCTCGATCACCACTATTCATCCACTCATCCAGCGCGTTTGACCCGCTCGCGCTGTTGTCGCCGGGCCGGTCGTTGTTGTTGACCGGTCGGACGGGGACCGGTCGACCGGCTCCGGGTGGACATCCTGGAAGGAGCCTCCTCGCTCTGGGCCAGTGTGTCACAGAGAGCGAAACTGGACCGCCGGCCGCCGGACCGGGCCGGACCGGAGCGGGCTGGGCCGGTCCGGCCCGCCGCCGCCGCCGCCGACTCGACTACCGCCAGCCCGCCCGTCGCTGGCTCGACTACCGCTCGCTCGACTACCGCTCGCTCGGGCTACCGCGGGCTTGACAATCACTGGCGTTTGTAACATCTGGAGTAGTCTATTCCGTCTCTTGGTTCGCCTCTCAGCCGCTGCGGGCTAGACTAAGGACTTCCTGCCAAAGCTGGCAAGCCTGTCTTTCCTTGGCTCGTCTGTTTGTTTCCAGCTTGCTGCTCCACCTGTCCGTTTCGTCCGGATGTGTTGGCTGGTCGGCCAACAGAAGGCGAGCCACAGTCTCCAGGAAGCTCGATGTTTGAAAAGATGTATCTGCGACAACTTTCCTCTTTGGTGGACTGCGATGTAAGATGTAAGGTGTCTGCAGCAGAGCAGCACAGCTGCTACTCCGAGGAGCTAGCAACCTCCGACATCGGAGGATTCCAAGGAACTAAAAATACCCGGCATCGGAGGACGTTCGTGTTGCTGCAAGCGACAAAAATGACAGCCTGGTTCGAGTGTTTTGGAAACTTTCCTCAATAAAACCCACCGCTTACCTGTGTAAAGCGGCATGACGCAGAATTTTGCACATCCCGTGGAGCAGCATTTTGCGACGCCGCTGCAGTCTGAGTCTGTTTCACATTCGTCCTTCTGTTCCCAGATGCATCTGCTGGCCGGTAGGACGTGTCTTGGACAGCTGCCGGGCTTTACTGCACCTGAAGAGGCAGAGAAACGGGTCAGAAACGGGTCAGAAATGGGTCAGAAACGGGTCAGAGGTGTACCAAAGTCACAGGCAAGCCGCAAACAACGGTTCACAGCTGGGTCATGGCTAGGTCAAAGACAAATTACAGATGCGTCTCGGGATGTCGGCACGGGTCAGTACAGGTCAGCAGGCATTGTGTGTCGCCAGGGACAGACGAGGACAGCCGATTCGGTTCTTGATGTCTCTGGTCTGCACTAAATCCTGATTTATCGTATGTTATCGCAATAAAATGTAGTTTCTCGTAAACACGCATAAGCAAACAGATACACTCCAAATAGGTCAAGCTTGCAAAGCAGATGTGACCTTATAAAAGGCTAGTATAGCATTAAGTGCAGCAGTTTTTTAGGTATGTTGTCAGGTAGCATATCGAGTAGAGACGCTTCTAGGAACTCTACTGCACGCACATGTCTCTAGCCACTGAACAGTGAACTTAACAACCAGCGGGCAAGCATGTGCGACGATTACGTAACTCTTTAACCGTATGACCGACAGCATCTCTCCAACACGGTGGGACCGTCGGTCCATTCTGTGAAGACTGCCACTCACCGCGTGCCACTGCGCGGCGCTCAGCAGCCGATTTCACCTCAGCACTCCCGGAAGGGACACATAATTTCACCGGAGATTGGAGGCGATTACTCATCGCTCTGAATGCTCACAATCACACGCGAGACATTGTAGTAGGAATGACTAATTTGACTTACTACGAGCATACAAACGACTAACGAGAAGAGTAGATTAACGCTCTTCCTTCCACAATTTGTGGACAAGTATTTCACTTGAAAGAAAGCAATAGCAATCAAAACACATACAAATAAATACAAGAAGCTTGTTTAAAGCTTAATTTGTAAGCAAGGTAATAGAACTGGCAATACGTTTATTTCAATTTCCACCTCGCAGTCACTTACAATCTGCAAATCTGTTCAAAGACAGATTTGCTGATATGCAATTTTAGGCATGAACATTGTCACATTGGTTACGTCGCTCAAGCTTTATCCCCACAATCACACACATATCTCCTGTACGCGTTCAACACCGCTAGAGACGTTCCACATCGAAGCCACCGCGGTACCGACAGGTAACACTTTCATCGTGATATCGCGCCGCTACTGGTCGGCTGTGGCCGGTGCCGCCGTCCGCGGGATCAGGCTCTGCTGGTCAGTCGGCCGACGACAGACAAGGACGGTGACTGGGGATCAGGAAGATTGTAAATCTACGAAGGAGGAGAGCTAAAGGCTGGAACATGAGATTCTCGAAAAAGATGGGAAATTCGTGGGGATGTGTGACGTATAACTCAAAGCGTCATTGAAGATTTGAAAAGTTGGTCAAGGGCGACGCTACGTACATCATCAATACATTTTCATGGACACACTTAATATTTTTTCACAAACTTTTGTTTAAATTCTAAAGAAAAACATACTAATCTAGACAGACCAGCCTGGAACGCGGCTCCCCAGCCCTCGTCTTTTTGCGCCGCCTGAGCCACCCCTTGCGTTACCGTCTCCGCCCGTTGTGCAACCTCCGTGCACTCCTCACGTGCTCCCCGAACCATGACCGGGCGGCACGACGAGCCAGGAGTGCACCGCTGTGCGCGCCGCCCTGGGAGTGGGGTGGGAACGGCCGCTGCTGGCAGACAGAGGAGCAGAGCTCACCGTGAGAGCTGATACATTCACCGCTGATTGAAGGAGATCTGAGAAACTCGGTGACGGCTGATGATGTTTTCATGAGAGACGGGGAGTCTCAGTTATATTTGGGAGTGCAGTGATCGTTGGCTGTCTCGAGCCCCACCACAAACCCCGTAATTAACTGGGAGTCTCCTCTCAGCTGTGCGCCCATTAAAGTGTCAACTTTAATCCGAGAGGCGACGCTGGTAATGTTCCACACTGGCGGATCCAGGGGGGGGCCACGGGGGCCATGGCCCCCCCCAAAGGCCTAAAGTGGCCTGTTTGGCCCCCCCCCCCAAAACGTAAGAAAAATTGCTAAGAAAATATACCTTGATGGAGGTTTTTAGCCACTTGGTGAAGTAAAGCTTTCCACAGCATAATATGGAAGCAATATGGTAGCAGTGAGGGTCAGTCAAAAGTTGCGCGAGTGGAGTCGACCTTCAAAAAAGACTTGTTGGCACGTGTTTATGGCGCGGTAGCTGGGAGTTGGCGGTGTTTCGCGTGGTGTGGCATCACTGGCGGATCGGGGGGGGGGGGGGCACGGGAGCCTGAGGTGCCCCTGACAGACCCGTGGTGCCCTTGGTAGGTCTGCGGTGCCCCTGGACCCTGGCAGGCCTGTGGTGCCTCTGGCGGGCCTAGGGTGCCCCTGCTAGGCTGCTGATGCCCCTGGGACCTGACAGGACTGTGGTGCCCCTGACAAGCCTAAAGTGTCCCCAACAGGCCCGTGATGCCCCCGACAGGCCCAAGGTGCCCCTGCGTGATGCCGTGATGCCTGCGAGGCCGGTGGTGCCCCTGCGAGGTCGGTGGGGCCCCTGACAGGCCCATGGTGCCCCTGCGAGGCCGGTGGTGCCCCTGCTAGACCGGTGGTGCCCCTGGCAGGCCTGTGGTGCCCCTGCTAGGCCGCTGGTGCCCCTGGGCCCTGACAGGACTGTGGTGCCCCTGACAGGCCCAAGGTGCCCCTGTAAGGCCTGTGGTACACCTGCTAGGCCTCTGGTGCCCCTGACAGGCCCATGGTGCCCCTGCAAGGCCGGCGGCGCCCCTGGCAGGTCTCTGGTGTCCCTGACAGACCTGGGGTGCCCCTGACAAGCCTAGCCTGTGGGGCCCCTCACAGGCCCGTGGTGCCCTTGTTAGGCCTGTGGTGCCCCTGGCGGGCTGGTAGTGCCCCTGCTAGGCCGGTGGTGCCCCTGACAGGCCTGTGGTGCCCCCGGGCACCAAGGGGGGTGGCCCCCCTTGGATCTGCCACTGGTACATATTATATTGATTTGTAATGGCGTTATGGCTTATGCAATATGCAATTGCAGGCACTTGGTATCCCTCACTTATCCCTCATTGGGGGCTCTGGCGGGCTCCTGAGGGCCCACGTCTATCTCCGGGAGCCCTAGACAGGCTCCTTTGGGTCCTTTCAGTCCACTATAGCATAAGAGGTCTCCATGCGAGTCCTATACATCTGAGGACGTACCCTGACGTCTGAGGTACTCAACTGCAGCTCCAATGGTCTCTTACACTGGCGGATCCAGGGAGGGGGCATTTAGGGCCATGCCCCCTTCCCAGAGGCCTAAAGTGGCCCGTTTGCCCCCTCCCCCAAGCGATAATGAAGCACAGTTCAATCAGTGCCTGGCCCAGGAGCCGAGTTAGACCACCTCCCGTTTTACCACCTCCCGGCCCGCAAAGGGACCCAAGCACTGACTCGAAGCGGGTTAACTGGTCGACAAAAGCAATAGTAAGTGTTTACAAAGTAATATAAAGGCATGGGTCGGGTGGGCTACCATTTATATATTTTTATTTTTAGTTAAAAAAAATATTCATAGTGTCAGGGCTGTGACGAAAAATAAGTGGCCTAAATCCGATGAGAAAACAGGATTTGGGGGTACCCTAGGTTTGGCTCCTGCATGAGTTGGCCCCCCCCCAAAACGCAAGTCTGGATCCGCCAGTGATGTTCCAGTGACGTGAGGGGGTCGATTTACGACCAGCGCTCGCTGCGACCGGTCACCACCCAGCCACACACACTGAGACGAGAACGCCTCCCGTGAAAGGTGACCCGGGTCACTCTCCACAGAGCGGAGACACGTGACCCCTGACCGCCCCGGGGCGCGGCCGGTGACCTCATGCGCAAGTTGCGTCACGTGCAGCGCTATGAGTCGGCGGCGGAGGTCCGTGACCTCTTGATCTCCGGGTCGACTGCGCCGTCGACTGCTGAGG